ATAGAAATTGAGTTGACATTTGGTTAAAATACAATAAAATCACTAAATAACTTTTAAAAAGATAATGAATGTTTAGAATGTATAAGTAAAATCTATATTTAGTATTCAAAAGATTCGAGTTAAAAAAAATCGTTCATTTTCTCAATTTCATTTTATGACGAGTATTAGTAGGAAAAGAAGAAGAAGCAAAACTATTATGTTTCAATTCCTAAATAAGCATCTTCTTTAATTTTTTTTTATTTCTTATGATTTATTACAAAATCCTATTAATGCATAAATGACATGATTTTTCTAAGCTTTTTTTCCAAAAAGAAACTGATAGTTGGTTGTTTGACTTTAAAAAAAATAAGTTTTTTTTTTCAAAAGAAGAAGTGTAATCAATAAAAGAAGATTGCAATACTTTTTATTTTCTATTAAAATAAGAGTATTCTTGAATTTTTAAAAATCTCAGACATAAAAGTTTAAGTCTTCTAAATTTAAGATGAAAATCATAATTTTTCAAAATATAGAGTATAAAATATAAAGATGGTCAAAACAGAGCATAGCAGAGGTAATTAACTCTAAATTAATTAACTTATCATTACTGATGACTTGCAGTGGGCAGAGAAGAGATCTCGATGGCGGTGGGTGCCAGAGACCTTTTTCATGATCTGCCATAAACACGGATCTGAAGATTCTGCATATCTAAACAAAAAAATTGCAACGAAACAAATAAAATCTAGGATAATTACTAGTAGACATTCGGATGGTTACAGCAATTTCTTTAAAGTTTATATTTTTGCGGTTGGATATATATGAGCCGAGTTTTTGGAACCTAAAGTATTGAGATTCCAAGAATTATTTCAACAAAAAATGTATACAGAAGTTAGATTATGTACTAAAATATAAAATTTTTATTTAAATATATATATATATATATATATAACTTGTGCGAAATAACTGGTAAACGTTAGGGACAAAATGGAACTTCGAGAGGGGCGTGGCTTTTCCACTGCACTCCAGCTTTGACCTTTCTATAATGTTCTGCTTTGAGAGGGACAGCATTATTTAGATTCGAATCTGCTTTGTCTAAAATGGGCATCTTCTTTTCTTTTGCGTTTGTTTAATTATAAATTCTTTTACACTTTATTTAAAAACATATAGCTTTATATTTAAATGGTGTGCATGCCAATATCTTAACATGATCTAGTTTACAATTTTAGATTCTCCACCTCTTACTCTTTCTTTTACTCGATTCTAAGCGTTTTTCTTTCTTTTTCCCTGTATGCTTCGATTGAGATTAATTTTTTTATATAAAAAAAGATATTAGCCATATATTTCTTGCATTGAACTAGTGTATTTTAATAAATTTAATGCGCTAGCTCCAAGATTTAAATTTTTTAAAAAATGAAAAATAAAACATGTTTCTTTAACTATCAGGCCAGCCATGTAAGTATTGTTTACTAACAAAGAATGAAACGATAAAAGTAAAAATAAAATTTTTATTTTTATTTTTAAAGTGTTTCGTTGAAAGAAATTATGTGAGAATATAATTCCATAGTGAGGATACAAAATAAGAAATAAGAATATGATAAGTCTCAATTGAAGTTGTCAAGAAGTTTATAAGAGATAAAATTCTACTTAGGGTGAGAATGAACCAGTAGAAGTTTGTTCCGAATAAGCTTACTTTATTATGAACTTCAAATGAGTTTAAATATAGAAAGGAAATAATAACTCTTCCTAATTCTTAGATAATATCTCTAAGAAATAGGGCATTAATGACTAAAACGACAAAATGGCTAATTTATTCTAAGTGACAATAACAACTAAAAAATAAACCACTTTTTCTATTCCTAAGCAAGTTGGAGACGTTACACTAACAACCTAGACCGAGCCTCGAGCCCGGATCAAATCTTGCATGTCCGATGCACAAGTCAACCAAAATATTTTGGATTCTTGACAAGCACCCTTTTAGACTTCCTAAGCTTATCAATAACTCCCTCTTTTATCGGAACCTTGTCCTCAAGGTTCGTAAATCTATCCTGCACTTCTTAAGAATTCTCCCATGTAGCCTCTTCCTCGGGAAGTTTGTTCCACTTTATCAAACTTTCCTTAAAAAACTTGGACCCTTTTTTTATCCAATGAGTATTTAGAATGGCCTCCAATTCCATAATAGGTTCACCATCATCCGCAATAAGTGGCAACTCAATACTAGGAGTGAAGTTGTCTCCAAATTTTTTCTTAAGGAGTGACACGTGGAAGACTCGGATGAATATGGGATCCAACTGGACGTTTAAGTTTGTAAGCCACCTTTCAATTCTTTCTTTTATTTGATAAAGGCCATAGAATCGACTAGTAAGCTTTTGACAAGCTTACTTGAAAACTATCTACTGGCGATAAGGTTGAGGCTTGAAAAACGCCTATTCTCCTTCTTGAAATTCAATATCCTTCCATTTAGAATCAACAAGCTGACTTCTTTCTATTGCTTGTCGCATGCAAATTATTCTTAAGCTATTGAAGTAGAGCATCTCGGTAGGCTAGATTTTTGTCTACTTCATGGATTCGTGTAATTTCCTTAATTATAGTATGGGAGTGTTAATGGAAGTCTCCAATATGAAACTTGGAAAGGAGTCATACCTGTAAAGACATGATAGGTTGTATTGTACTAGTATTCTACCCCGGGAAGATGAGATATCCATTTTCTAGGATGTAGATAAACAAAGCTTTGTAGGCATTGTTCTATACAACGGTTCACTATCGTTGATGTTGACCCAACGAGGAGGGCTCAACGAGGAGTCACCACCTAGCTAATCGAAAGAACTAAAAAACCGTAAACATATTAGTCTATGTGAATATTTGAGTAAAGGGTTGATTACGTAAGGAAAAGATATGACATCACCACCATTCCATCCTACCTAAAGTAAGTTGCATTGTTTGCTTATGGATATAAAAATCTAATTTTTTTTATCGTGTTATGCTTCTATTTCTATTTAAATGAGTTTATTTTATAAAAATATAAAATATGATAGTTCGGAAGTTCAAGTCGGTTTAAGGCCAATACCCCTACCTAAAAAGGGAAAGATGGGAAAATTTAGAATTTTGACTAGTCATTAATGAACAAGACCTATTATCGACAAATAAGTAAGTTTCTAAAGATAGATAGCTCGTTAGTGACATGAGTAGTCGATCACCAATGACTTCACTCATAGAAGTGAAAAGCCACCGACGACTTTGAGTCATCGGTTCGAGAGGCTAGCGATTACTTCATCACATAAATAGGAAGTTATTAGCCACCTTATATGGCTTAAGCAAGGAACAAAGAACTAGTTTGAAAGCCACTAGCGACTTTGTCATATAGGTGGGAAGCTACCGACGGCTTCTTTTCAAACAAGTAGACACTAAATAAAAATTTTCAAAATCAACGTCACATAAGTGGGAAGCTATCGACGACTTCGTTTTGATAAAACAAGAAACTGAAAAATTGGAATAGGAAATAGGAAATAGAAAATAGGAAACATGAAATAGAAAATAAAAAACGAGAATAAGAAACGAGCAAAATGATTTCAAAACTATTGACGACTTCATCACATAAGTGGGAAGCCACTAGCGACTTTGTTTCGAAAATTCAAAATTAAGCAAAAAGAAATAGAAAACATGAATAGGAAATAGAAATAGAAAATAAAAAATAGGAAATGAGAATCAAAAATAAGAAAAATGATTCCAAAACCATTGACGAGTTCGTCACATAAGTAGGAAGCCACTAGCGGTTTCATTTTGATAAAATAAGAAACATGAAACTGAAAACTAGAATAGGAAATAGGAAATATAAAATAGGAAACAAGAAATAGAAAATCAAAAACATGAACATGAAACAAGCAAAATGATTTCAAAACCATCGACGAGCTTCGTCACATAAGTGGGAAGCCACTAGTGAATTCGTTTTGATATTCAAAATTAAGCAAAAGAAATAAAAAATATGAACAAGAAAAAGAAATAGGAAATAAAAAATAGTAAATAGGAATTGAAACCAAGAACAATGATTCGAAACCACCGACAAGTTCGTCACAAAAGTGAGAAGCCACTGGCGGCTTTGTTTCAACAATTCAAGATTAAGCAAAAGGAAATTGAAAGCATGAATTGGAAATAGAAACGAGAAAAAAAAATTAGAAAACATAAAATAGGAATTAGGTATAAGAAACGGACATAATGATTTCGAAACCACTAGCAACTTCATCACATAAGTGGGAAGCTAGTAATGGCTTCATTTTAATATTGCAATTAGACACGGTTAATTAATAAACCATAAAAACAAGTACAAACTTCACATCGAAACATGTAGGTGTAAAACAAGTAAAACATTGTAATTTATCCTTTTATAGCCATTATAACAATGTTTGCTTTATTGGTATTTAAACTATGAATATCTAAACAAAATGTAATAGTTTCTTTTGTATTTTCAAATAATTCGGTCATTTTTAACCCTTAGTTTTAAAGAGCTCGGTGGTTTTGAAATTTTTACCCAAGGGTTCTATAGCTCGGATATGTAAGTTGAAGTCGGTTTTACTCTCTTTGTTTCGATTAAAGCTGGTTATTCGGTTAGCTAAGAAAGAAGAGCAACTGCTTGTTGATAAAATGTCATATGGATCTCGTCAAGCCGGCCAAATGTTTCTCCAAAATCGATGCAAATGGCTAAGGTTACTATTACTGCCAAAGTTAATGTAAACTTGTAAAGTTGTTATAATCGTGCAAAAATAGCAACAAAGTTACTATTGCATTTATCCTATCAAAAATCAACATAAAGCCAACCAAACATAATTCCACAATAGTAAAGTTTTCTTTTTTTGTTTTTTTTTTATCTCAAATTTGTTATTGCTACTATTCACAAACAAGAAAGCCAACTCTTTAGTGTATTTTTTTTTGCTTCTATTTCTATTACACCTAAATGGAAGGTGCAGTGTGGATATTTTTTAGCTCAAAGGTGGAAGATGAGGTGTTGCTTCGGGTGAGAAATAAAGTGGCAAATGGGCTATCTTGTTTCAATTGATGTTGAGGTTCCAAGTGATAAAATGGAAGACTTTTTCTAGGCTATAAAAGCTACTTATTTTGGGACTATAAGGGTGGTTGTTTAAGGGGAGTAAGGGCTACTATTCGGGTGCTAAAAAGGTGAGGAAGGGGTTGGCAAAAAAAAAGAGGTCTGTATTGGGCAAGGTAGAGAACAAGTTAGGATGTGTTTGTTTATTCATTCGAGTCGGAGCAAAGGAATGCTAGGGGTATGGAGTTATGAAGTTGGGCATGCTTGAGGTATCTTGTAGGTGTGGAATTATGAAGAGGCAAGACGAGAAAGTTGTAAGGGGGTTGTGCTTAGTGAGGGGTTGTTCACTGTTGGGCATGGGAAAGCTAGAAATGAAGGCACGTATGCGAGGCTACTCGCGCTAAAAGGTCGTTGCATGGAGAAGGAGCTGGGTGCACGAGCTATGTTACGCACTAAATGTGCACACTCGTGCTATGTGTTAAGTATGGCTTCGTCTGCTGGAAGGAGGTCGTTATGCGCGGGCTTAGGGCAATGATTATGTGTGAAAGGGTCTAGAGTTAGAGTTTTAGGAAGGGGTTGTTGTGATGTTGATAAGAAGGTTGATGGATATGAGGAGGAGGAGGAGATAAAGGGATCGGACTAACCACGCTCATTTAAAGGGACATGATTGACCATGTTAATTTAAAAGAAATATGACTTACCATATTTATTTGAAAAGACACGATAGATCACGTTAATTCTACGAGACATGATTGATCATGTCAAATTAAAAGACGTATGATTGACCACGTTAATTGAAAAAGACACGATCAACCACATCAATTCTATATGGATATGATCGACCATGTAAAAAAAAAAATGATTGACCACGCCGATTTGAAGGAATGTGACTAACCATTGACTTTGCGGGGACATGATAGATCATGTCAAACATAATGACACGTGATCGACCACATCAATTTTACGGGACATGATTGACCATTTCAAATTAAAACGTACATGATCGACCACGTTGATATGAAAAGACACGACCGACCATGTTGATTATGTAGGGACATCACTAATCATGTCAAAATATAAGAAAACGTGACTAACCATGTTAATTTAAAGAGGCACTAACTAACCGGGTTGATTTTACAAAGACATGACTGATCAAGTCAAATAAAAAGACACATGATTGATCATGTTGATTTGAAAGGACGCGATCGATCATATCGATTTTATTGGACATGATCAACCATATCAAATTAAAAAACACATGACTAACCATGTTAATTTAAAAAGATGTGATCGATAACGTCTATTCCGTAGGAAGATAACCGATCATGTCAAAAAAATAAAAAAACAGGATTAACCATGTTAATTTAAAGGGGTGCGACCGACCGTGCTGACTTGCTGGGATATGACTCACCATGTCAATTTAAAAAAACGTGCTTGATCATGTTAAATTAAAAAAGACATGACTAGCCATATCAAATTTAAAAGGGTGTGATTGGCCATGCCAAATCGAAATTTTAAAAAGACATGACTAGCCATATCGGGTAAAAAAGAGTATGACTCATCATGCTAAATTGACAACTACATGAATAGCCATGTCAAGTTAAAATTTTGAACGGACGTGGTTGGCTATGTCAAGTTGAAAGAATATAACCGATCACGTCAAATTGAAATTTAAAATGACATGACTAACCATACAAACTTGAAAAAGGCATGATTGGTCATGCCAAATTGAAAAAGGTGCGCCTAGCCATGCTAAATTAAAATTTTAAAAAGACGTGACTAGTCATGTCAAGTTGAAAAGGGCACGATTAGTCGTCCTAAATTGAAGAGAGTAGGATCGGCCACGCCAAATTGAAATTTTAAAAAGACATGATTGGTTATGTCAAATTTAAAACAACGTGACTCGGTCACATCAAATTAAAAAGGATACGATTGGCCATACAAAATTAGAAAGTACACGACTGGCCATGCTAAATTGAAATTTTGAAAAGACATGACTCGGATAGGTCAAGTTGAAAAAGGGATGGCTATCCGAGTTGAATTGAAAAGGATGTGAATGGCCATACCAAGTTGAAATATTGAAAAGACGTAATTGGTCATGTCAAGTTGAAAGGACACGACGAGTTGCATCAAATTGAAATTTGAAATGACATAACCGGCCTCGTTAAATTGAAAAGGGCAAGATCGACCATGGAAAATTGAAAAAAGAGTGACTAGCCTTATCAAATTGAAAATTTGAAAATACTTGACTAGCCATGTCAAGTTGAAAAGGGCATGATTGGCTATGCCAAATTGAAATGGGTATGACTAGCCACGCTAAGTTAAAATTTTAAAATGACATGAGTGGCCACATCAAATTGAAAAGAGCATGATTGGAAATGCCAAATTAAAATTTTAAAAAGATCGACCATGTTAAGTTGAAAAGATGTGACTAGCTGCATTGATGTTGTCAAGACGTGATCGCCACGTTGACTTTATGAGGACATGATCGGCCACATCGATTTTGAAAGGCATGATCGACCATAATTTTTATCAAGGTATGATTGACTATTCTAAATTAGATTGATATGGATATTTCAGAAAAACATAGGTCGTCAATGCCAAAACATGGTTTTCCCCATTTCTTATTCATTTATGTGTCGGCTAGTTTGAATAGGCTCAAAGTTCTCGTCTACTGCTTTTATTGGGTTTATCTATTTGTATTTATGATTATGCCTCCTATTCTTTTATTCATTAGGATGGCTACTTGGACTATTGTTTGTGTCATTTGAACGATACTCACTCATTTGATTAAATTAGATATTATAATTATTTTGTGCCCACTTGATACTATCTTTAAATGTTTAGGCTTTTGCAACCACATATCAAGAGTATGACCCAAAATGGTTAAGATGGCCTTTTGTCTTAACTTTTTATAGTTCATTAAGAGAAAGGTTCTAACAAATTTCATGGAGGCAAACCTCTTGTAGACCAAGCCCAAGTAAGATCTTTATTAAGTTATCATTTGCTAATTCGATGCATTATCATATTTCATAAATGATATTAATTACGGGATCATGCATGAGATCAAAGAAAGGTTTTTTTTTTCTTTTTAGGGACTGATCATTCTTGTGAAAACAATGATTTTTTTTTTAGACATGAAAGATCATGAACCACATTATGTTAGGGAAAAATCAAGAATAGAGGAAGAAAAGTCGAATGATCGCACCGATGAATATTTAGCTATAACTCGGATTATCTCCTTGTTCTCCGAATAGGAGAGAAGTTGAAATGCTTGGTTGTCTTTTAGTGTTGACATAGATTTACAACCGAGTCCGAACATAGCATATTTCTAAAATATTTGTAGTGATTATTCATTTGTCATACACCTTTTATTGTTATTGCTTATGTCATTCATCTTCTTTTGACATTTGCGCTTGATTTTGTGAACGTGTCTTTGAAAGTTTTTTTTTTTTTTAGAAAATCATTTTATTTGTTATAACTTTCATGGATTAAGCCATATATTTGAAAATTTTCCATCAAGGCAAGTTGAATTATCCAAGAGAAATCATTAAGATATTCATAAGAAAGTAATCTCATTTAGAAAGATGTTTGACTTATTTAATCAAAAACCAAAAAGTATCGCACAATGTCGGGATGTAATTCTCATGACGATCTATTTTTAAGCTAAGATGAGCAAAATATGTTTGGACCGCTAGAGCTTTGAAAAAGATTCGTCTATTTTGACATGTGATTGAAAAAATTTTGGTCCTAAAACATGATGTGCTTTGATGAATTTCAAGAAGTAAAAGAGCTTCCGAAGAAATTTTAGCTTAAATGGGCGATCTTGCTTAGAAAGAATGGATTTATGTCTTTCTTATCCCTAATTACTTGATGAAAATTTATGATTTAATGTCGTAAATGATGGTTTGTAATGCACAAACAAGTCAAGTTTTATTCAAAAATATTTTCTTTTTTCTTTTTGTTTGAGGGTAGAACTCATTAACACGAACAAGTCATCTTTGATCAAAAAGAGCTTTCATAGGCACGTAATGTAGGCTATGACTTTAGGTGTACCGCCTTGACTTTGTCATTTTATTGAGTGATCTTATCTTCTAATCTTCGCTCTCCTTTTATGTTCACTCTTGTCATTCATTTTTTGTTTTAGAGATCTCTAACCCAAGCATTTTTTAGCCCTTTTTGACTTCAAATCATGAGAAGAATCACTCTAGATAACACTCTCTTTTGTATCAGTACTTTCACTTTTGTTTTTCGATTTTTTTTTCATAGTCTTTCAAGGGTTTCCTTGAAAATTTTTTTTTTGTGAATAATTATCATCATTTCTCATCTTGTATTTCTAGGAGAACTTCCTTAATCTAATAAACTTTAAAATTGCCCCTAGTGTGAGGGGTAATCTTAGGCTAGGTTATTATGAAAGAAATCTTTTTTGCTTAAAGTTAGACGATAAAGGATAAGTTTTTGTTTATGGAAAAATAAACCAATTTTCCATAAAAAAAAATGGTCTTTTTTTCATGTCAAATGTGATCTTGTTCGGGTTAATAAACTCTAGTTTAATTTGAAAACTATGATTGACTTATAGAGAAGAAGTGATGGATAAGTTGAGATAATGACCCGAATGCATACCACTCATCATCATTTAAAACATCAAATGATTTTTTTTTTTTTGGCATTGATAAATCGTGTTTCACAAGACTTTCTTGGAAGGATTTATCAACAATAGGAGAGGAATATTTTTGGTTTCAAAAAGAAAAGGACTACCCCTAATATTTGCAAGACATGTTTTGAAAGTTGATCAATGTTAAAAACTTTTAAAGGAGTTTGTCATTTTATTTACTTTGATTCGGGTGACATAAAATGACATGATACTTTTAAATAAATATCTCTTGATTTTAAATCAATAATAAAATTATGCCAAGGTAATAAGAATTTCTTTTTCAAAGAAATGACCCAATCCATGAAAATCAAACACTTTTCCAATTGAAATCTAAAAATTTGATATAAAGTAAGGTCTCATTCACAAAATCAAGACACATTCATACTTCTTTGACCACCTTGGGATGTTATGCTCGTATTCATTATCTTGTACATTATAATTAGAGTTATGTTGACCATTCTTTTGTTTTTTTTTTTTTAACGCAATCACGTAGTGTTTTTATTTTTGAGATATGATCATATTGAATGTCTTAAAGATAGAGTGAAAATGAGACTAAAACAGAATAGAAAAAAGAAGGCAAAAGTGGTAGTTTGAGAAGAAAATTTGCACGATCTCACATATTGACATCATATGAAAGTATGGTAGATAAATACGATAAGAAAATTATTTAGCCTCGAAAATGAAAGTCGCTTCTTTATCGACTAGTCATTCAATTCCTTTCCCACTTTTTCTCGTAGATAAGTTTATTGACATCAAGGAATTTCTTAAATGTGTTGGCAAAAAGCACCATCACTTTTGAACTCGTCAAACACCGACCGAAGCCATATGACTTCATTTTTAGCATCAACTTTCTCTTTCCTCACAATGTTCACTACCATATTATACGATGGTTAACTCAAACTTAAGTCTTTGCTCTTGATGAAATTTATGGCAATTATCGATATCGTGTTCACTCTTTTTGTGAAACTTGTAAAAGAACTTGATATGAA